GTTATGACAAAAGACCATTCTTGCAAACACATGTTTCAGAAGGAAATTGACAGTCGAGCAAAGGTATTTTGGCACAATTTACATTTAATTTCAGCAAGCTTTAAAGTTCATATCAAGGAGTTACTGGAATTTTTCCTGCCTTTATGAACTTTAACTACACAACTCTCTAACTCACCACCACATTGTAGAGAATCACGACACCAAAGCAAAACCCAGTGATTCCACCCGCGATATGAGCTGAATGGGATACCTAAAGTGACCCGATTAACAAGAAATTGATAAAGAATGACAACTTACTGTATCACATTCGTCGGAAGCAAAGCGACGAATAATTGCTGTTCCTATATCGAATATGAGAAAAATTGTGATCAAGGTAAGCCGCACCCAACGGAAAGGCATTTCAGCCCAATTCTGAAGCCAAAGATTCAGATCTAAGTAGAAGAAATATCGAAAAAGTTTGCTAGCTTTATCCTAGACCTACGATGACGACATTTGCCAAATGGGCCGTTAAAAGTGCATAGACGCCAGCTGAAGCGCCAACAACATAGACTTTCGGATCGAGGGTGTACTGTAGTAGAGATCCTAAAAGTGTGGACATAGAGTATGCAAACTACTAAAGAATAAAGATAGATAAAGAAGAAAGAAGAAGAAAGCTCTACCTGATAAAACAGCCATAACATAGAGAGGACCTATTCGCCAGGGTTTGTGCACCACCTCAAGAGGTACGCCTATCAGAATCTGCACCACCATATTCCCGAGTAAATGTAACAAACTAGACGCAAAAAGAAACTAGGAAATGAAAGGAGAATAAAGCTTATGATATCTTACCCAGCATGAAGGAATGCGTACGTGATGAATCGCCACAACTGGGTTTTCATCTTGGGAGAGAACATCAATGGGCCAACGTGGTGATTCACCACACAACCTGAGCAGAATGAGAAAATATCCTCGTTTGGCTTCGGTGGTTCTGTCCAGTAGTAGTAGAAGAATACGAATAACTAAAATACTTATGTCAATTCGTTTGCTCCTTTAACACTACAAAATTGGTTACAGATATTTAAAAAAACCATAAAATTAGTGATTAAGTAACTAGATCAGTCAGATGAAACCTATTACCATTGCATATGCTAAGTCTTCTTGGCGCAGGGGTAAAAAGCAACAAATTAATGATATTTGGCGTAAACAAGAAATATTTGAATATTGGTTTTATAAAAAGCAAAGTAGAGTGACTGCTTCAAGCGTAGATCTAACATATGATGCCGCTTACAGTATAACTCTATATTACAAAAATTGGTGATGCTTGGCTGAAATTGTTGTTGCTTACGGTTCTGCAAGATAGTTTGATACCGTATTAAAAAACAAGCGATTAGGCTTTAAAGATCTTATCAAGTCATTCTGCATTATTTTCGACATACAGGTCACCACAAGCAGCACACAGAATGGGCTAGTTATGAAGTTTAGTAGCAGGAAGATCGCGTTTTCAACGCAACAATTATTAGTCGTCTTAATAGAATGTACCAGCTAAGAAAAGAACCCAACATCTCATAATAAAGAAAACCTCCAAAGATTGCCTTCCAGTAATAACAAAGATTAATTCATGAAAAATGCTTACAACTGCGATATATATTTAGCCATAGAAATTCTTCCAGACATTTGTCATCATAATAATGAATTCAAAAAATTTTTGTAAGCTAATTAAAAAAGATTATATGAAGGGCATAGTCGGCATCGGCGCAAGAAATAATCTACAAAAATCCAGCCAGTTAGCGTTTGCGTGTTACATCTACAATAGCCTGAGAGCATTTTTTTTCGTTGATTGTTTAGTATTTAGTAAGTAAAAACACTACTACAGTCTTCATTTGCTGTTTCCTGTACCGAAGAGTAAAAACATTTCTTGAATTACAGAACAAAGACCAGTGTTGAGATCAAAGGTCTGAATACTACCCGTGATTTTGAAATATGTTTCATAGTTAAGCGTGTAGGCTGTATATACGTGCAGACCTCGGCGGTAGGTCTCCAGAAGACAGGCGAATATTCGATTTTGTGGGAAAGAAGCAAAGCCTGGAGTTCTTTCTCAATTATGACCGCTCTCTCTACAACAAAAATGTTGAAGCTCCACTCCCTTTCCTAATGTTTAGGTACGCCACAAACATTCTTGTCTTATTCAATACTCAATTATATTAAATCCACATACATTTTACGGCCGTTTAGAAACCTGTTCTAGTACAGGGTTTGACGTATGTTTCAATGCGGGCCTTTTCGGGGAAAGTTGGACAAATATCAAAATATCTACACAGATCCGTTCTCAAGCAGATAGGCAATGACCCGCCACCTTCGCAAAAATGGGCAACAAGGAGTAGAAGAAGCGTTGCAACTATCAAAATTTTGAGTATGTAAGAATCGCTGTATCTTCTTGTGATTTAGGTCTCTTGCAAAGACACACGGGACCCCAGGTCTCCGATTAGCAAACACTTCTTTGTTTCTTATCTGCTTTCTTTAAATCAAACCATTTTTATGCATTCCTTTACCCAACTTATCGCGCAATAACCAGATCAAAACACTTCCCCTCTGCTAGGACGCTAATCCGTTTAGAAGAAGGAAACGCGCTCCATAAAAGCACTGCAGTGCTTGTCTTGCTTGCACGCGTTTTTACGGTTACAAAGGGGGCTTCATCAGTGCTCTGGCGTGTATGGATGTTGTGTGCGTATGTGTTGTGTGTGTATGTGTGTATGTGTGTAAGTTCCTTCAGAGATCATGAAAGTCCACGCTATCATGTTCTCTTCGCACGCGGGCTAAGTTGCTTACGAGCTATAAGCTGTTTGAACTTGAAACGAGTCAAAATTATGATGTTTCTTTTAAATTAATGTATTTTCCCCTGTTTCTTTCTTGTTTTCCATTTTCTTTCCTACTCTAGGTACCTGAACAGAAGAGTAAGGGGCCCTATTTTACTATTTCATTCATTCACTTGAAGCGCTTTTCTCTCAAATAGACAGCAACTTAGTAAATATCCACATCTAGCACCAGCCTCGTCTCAAACATGCATTAATGTAAAATTTAGTTTTTTGATTTTATGTTAGATACGTATGTGTACCAAACATCTAATTTTAAAAAAAAACAGAGTGGGCTGCTCTAAGGAAGATTCTCAGGAAAGATGAATCAAAAAACATGTATGATAAATATGTGATGTCTGAAAGTCAACAATACTGAAAACTTAACAGTTAAAAACTGAATTTCATCCAGGAAAGAAATGCGCTTGAATTGAGTGAAAAATAATCAGACTTACGACTCTCCTCGTTCTAAACTCTTAGTACTTGAAATAGAAAAATTCTTGACAAACAATTAGAAAATTCCAACAAAAGTTCCTTTTTTCAACAGTGGGCACATAATTTGGCTTATGCCCAAACGGCTACGTCTCATAAGCACCTGAGCCCGCATGCGAAGTAGACGTGATAAAGTGGATTTTCACGATTTGTGTGTATGTGTGTATGTGTGTATGTTTGTGTGTTGTGTGTGTTTCATGTGTGCGCGTATATGTGTGCGTGTAAGTTTTGGTGCATGTGTGTATAAGTGTGTATGCGTGCACGTATGTGTGTAAGTAGCTTAGTGTGTGTGTTCCTTCGTCTATCACGAAACTAGGTATTAGTTCTCAAAAAGTCAAAGAGCTCTTATCTACTATTATCATGAAATCAAAGGACAGAGGAAGCACGAGTTTTTATTATGAAAACGCGGTAAGTTGGTTGTTCATTTTACCATGGACGGATGTAAGATGAGAATAGATGGGCTCTGCGCCCTTCTTTTTCAAAACAGTCCCAGTACGATCAAAGTTCCAACCTAATATTGCAGTGCATACATGTATTTGCTTTTTTAATAAGGTAAGAGCCATTCTAAAGTGTTGAAAAAGGACTCTGTCAGAAAGGGCCACTGGAAGCTTTTGCAGAGGAGAGATGATGCACTGGTGAATATCCTCTACCAGATGTTTGAATGAGCCTTTTCAATTACAAGGATTTTGACATTTTTGCGCTGAACACAATTGGCGACCGTCCTAATCCTCACCAGTTGCGACTACCAGAGATTAGCGAAATCCGCTATGATCTTCATTCCCCCTTGCCTTCAGTACGCGGCTTCTCTCCAGCATATTGGAGAAAACAGAGATAGACAAAAACGACACTCGATGGCTATTCCATCATTAACCAATATTCTGGTAGATTCAGCACAAAGC